TCACATATGGAGTAAAGTATACGATTTAAAGTGAATTTTGTTTTTCAAAAAAGATAATGAAAATATTTGTAACGTACACAATAAAATTCTTTATATACATAGATATTTTAATTTTTTTTTTGCGTAATACTTACTTCACAAACCACAAGATTGTGCGTTAATTTTTAAACAATAAAACATTATGCACACATTGACCAATTTACAATGGGATAAAATAAAATTTGTTTAACTAAAATAACTAGCAAAATTCCAGAAAAACCTCTTCGGGCAGACTAGTCTCTTGACTAGCTCCAATAGTTTTGTGAATAGTGTGACTAAAAAAATATATATATATATATATAAAATAAATAAAATAAGTTAATAAAATAAAATCTCACATTCAAATTATAATTATTATTTTTTTACAAAAAAAATTTAAAATATTAAAAATTCTTCCTAAATTAGTTAAAAAGCTAAAAAAATTAAATAAAAATTTTTTTCCCAAACGAACCATGTTCAGCAACTATTCACTAGCAATTTAATTTTTTCTTGTTAAATAATTTACTCTTTCCTTTTTTTCTTTCTTATTTTATCTCTCACAAAAATATTAAATAAATATTTTAAAACAAGTTAGCTAAAACAAAAAATATGAGTGCCTCTATTTACACATCACATTTCATCTCAAGACACACCACTATTCAATGCACACTTTTAGTAATTTGATAAATAAAAAATTTACTCAATACACACCACAATCTTTCATTTTTACTCGTATTCACACACCCTACCCACAATCTTACATCTTTATCCTTATTCACTCACACACCGCACCCACGATCTTCAATCTTCCATTTCCTTAAAAAAATTTATTACATCTTTATATTTTTAGTCAATTACAATTTTAACTTTTATACAAATTTCTTAATCCACCCAACACAAATTTTATTACGAGTTGCAATGTCAGCAGTGAAGGAAAAGGCAACGCGAGTTGCTGCCATGGCAAGAACGCAAATGGATTAAGGATGGAAACAAAAAGGGGATGGTGTCGATCGGAGGGTAACAGCGGCAAAGAGGTAAGATGGCTGAAGCCAATGGTTGATGGCGGCGGCAGCTGCGGGGTAGAGTTAGGGTTAGGGTTATGGTTATGGTTATGGTTATGGTTATGGTTAGAGAAGATGAAGATATTTTGGGAATATTTAAAAATTGATAGTGTGTATTGAGTGAAAAATAAAAAATCAAAATTGGGTGTAGTGTGCAATGAGTAATTGGTGTGTATTATGTAAGGTGTATATCATAACCCTTTATCCTTTGTGATCATTTTACATTAGATTAATATTGTAATAAAAAATAAACTAATTAATGGTGTGCCTTGAGATAAAATGTGGTGTGCAAATAGAGGCACTAAAAACATATTGTTAGAGTGCATATTAAAAAATTAATTTGCGAAAGTAATAAGGAGATTTTTTTTTTAGGAGATTTTTTTTTTTTTTTTTTCTAGATATTTTGACTAGATACATCAAATGAAAAAAAATAATGATAATTAAGGCGAGCAGGTTCATCACGTTTGTTTCCTTTGGTGGACAAAATGATAAAAATTAGATAGGAATTTCTTAAAAGATCAATTATTTGTTTCGTTACTCATTAAAATTTTGAAACCCTTCATAAATCTCATATCGAAATATATTATGGGTTTGGTTTTCTCAAATTATCATATCAACTTGAGAGAGTATTTGAGTTTGATAGACCCATTTTGAATCCGAGTTTAGTGATTCAAATCGTTCATTTTTTAGGACACGTTGAGTAAAACATTCATAAAAAAATTAAAATTATTAGACATCGGTAACTTTATGCTTGAATCATCTTTATTTCTCAAAAATAAATGACAAATATAATTTCAAGAATAACCATTTATTCTTTGTAATACAAATGTGATTCAAACATATATTTACTGATATCCGATTATTTTAAATTTTTGTATAAATATTCTACTCAACGAATCCTATAGTACGCTCGAACTAACTTTTGACTGCTCGGGCGATCTATTTGAGGTCAGCCACTTTAAAAGTCACTTTTGGCCCACTTTTCCTCATTTTCTTTTAGTTTTTGTATCTGGACGCTCGAGCGGTGTTTTGTTCGCTCGAACGGTCTGTCCAAATTCAGCATCTATAAATGTCACTTTTGGTCATATCTAGATCATTTCTCTCTCTCTCTCTGCCATTTTTGAGCTTCCAAGCTCTTTAACCCTTGATTTCATCTATTCCTAAATATCCTTGACCCCTAGTTTCATATACCAAAACATAAAGCTCGGCGAGGATTTTGATTTAATTTGAGCAAATCGTATTTTTGTCGCCGTGGATTTTTTTGGCTTTTCTCCTCTTCGCTTCGAGAAGTAGGGATTTCTTTACTTATTTTCAACACCTCGTTATAGATAGACATATGGTAGTTTTTATTACATTAAAAGCATATTTTCCTATGTGGTTTTGGAAAGGCATACAGGGGGTTTAGGATTTTGAATTTTTAGAGTCAAATAATCATGTTTTGGGTTGATGTGGTAAATTGCGAGGTAGTTAATGACGTTTATATTAATAGTGGTGAAAAACCTTAATTTCTAATTAAGAGTTCAATAAAACGAAAGGAATTAAGATTAAGTAATTGTTGGGTTATGTGTTTACATTAATGAATTAGAGTTGTAGTTGCTAAAAAGAAGTTAATCTGGTCTTGTGATTGTTTAGTTAATGTTATATTGTATTGGGTTGTGGTTATGTCTCAACAAATTGGGATTTTGACAATTAAAAAGGGGTTTTGGCTAATGGTTGTGAGTGTTGGAGATTTGGAAAAACGAGTTTGGTTTTGAAAACAAAATGATGTTTGTAACTCTTTTGTGAAATGATTTCACTAAAAATGTTAATGATTTGAAATTGTGGAATCGGTTGTGGATTTAAGTTACGAGAGTTAGGTATTTAATTGTTAGAGATTTTATCACTGGTCATTGGTGGAAGATGACATTACTATTGTTGAATAGAATACATGTATGTGTTATATTCGTAGATTATCAATGTAATCTAAAATGTTGTGTTATGAGATTAGGGGTTTGTTTCCCGTCGGGTGAGGTCGGTAAAGCGTGGCGCCTTGACAGAGATTTCTCTTCTTTTTGGTTTGCACCCGGTAAAGTGTGAATTGTGGTCTGTTTTCTTTCAGGTGGGGCCAGTAAAGTGCGGCACCTTGACAGAGGTTCCTCTCCCTTCTAGTTTGCATCTGGCAAAGTGTGATGTGCGAGTCATTCTCGTCCGGGTAAGGCCGGTAAAGCATGTTGTGTTATGTGGGTTATATCATTAGCCCTCTATGCCTTGGGCCAGTAAAAATGGAAGTATGTGTTGTTTTCCGTTATTCACATTTAGATACATATATATGTATATATACATGTATATTGTTGTGGGTGTTCCATTGCCCTTATGCTTAAGGCCATAAATCAGGCTGGTTGTGTTGGTGGGTGTATACGTGTGGTGAGTTAGGACGTAAGATGAGAGTGTGGTTGGTGCATGTGAACGTATTTTCAAAAGTAATTGTTGTTATGAACTTCTTTTGAACAAAAATGAAAGGTTAGAAAGAAAAGAAATGGTTTTATATCATGTTGTGTTAAAGAGAATGATTTGGGGGATATGTACTTATGTAAGTATATTTGGTTATAAAACTGTCACATTACTTATATAGTATAATGCAGAACATTCATGATCATAACTATTCGTATGTTGTTATTGTTTAAGATTATTTGGAATCTCTATTGGACTTTATGTTCATCCTATGTTGCTAATCATTTTTTAGGCACAAGTTAAGAAGTGGTTCAAGGTTGAAGGATCTTCTTTAATTGATAGCCAAGGGGCCTTATATTTGTTGGTGACAAGCCATTGTTGTAAAAGAGTTAAGCTTTTTTCTTTTTATATAATAATGTACACCGACAGGCATTTCGTTTAAATGTAATTCATTTTGCATCCAATGCATATATGAATAAGAGAACTTCTATTACTTATTGATATTAATGTATATAACTTCCACATGTTATCAATGAAATTGGATTATAATAATGGATGTGATAATATTATTCGAGTAATAAAAAGTGGGCCATAACAATGTGGGTCACTCATCTCTTATTGCAGTAGAATTATGGGGTATTTGGCAAGGTCTACGATTGACTTGGTTGCATAGTCACCGTTGGGTTATCATCGAATCTGATTCTATGGAAGCAATTCAATTTTTGCGGAAGGCTAATCCTATGCACCCAAACTTCAACATATTCCAGGAGACTTGGGAGTTAATGGACAGGGATTAGCAATGTGACCTTCAACAAATCTAGTGTAAAGCTAATGCAAGTGCAGATTTCATTGCAAAGGATGCCCTTTGTATGGATGGGTCGAGTGAAACTTTGTTGGTTTGACTATCTGCATTGGTAGTAATTTTAGACAATGATAGGCAAAAGGTTGTGTCCTCCTGGATTCTTAGTTTTGTAATCTTCTTGTTTTTGGCTTTGGCGCGAATCAAAACCCCTCTCCCCTTCCAAAAAAAAAATAATAAAGAAAGTTTTTTTTAGAGAAAACACTACTTTTAATAATGTATATATATATGATGATTTGGAATTTTTGGTCAAAGGTCCTTCATACAAACTCTTTTTTTGTAATGACCCCAAAATGTGTATAAGAAATCATCTTTATTTAACTATGAGATGATGTGTTTTAATTTAATTATATCTATTGGAATTGAAGCATTATCTGTTGAGTTACGGATTTAAAATTGAAATTACCGACCTTTATGGGTTCAAAAATCAAAATTGAGTACTTGGGTATGTTAATGGGAATTTTTAGAACTATTTGGGAAAATTAATTGAAAATCTAATTTGTCTGATTCGTTAATGCACGTTTGGGTGGTTAACTTTATACTGCAAATTGAAGGCCCTAGAGGCTTCAGAAATCGGAGCAGGGGACATATTTATGATCAGCGTAATTTTTAGAGTCACTTGGGAACTTTAATTGGAATTTGATTTTGCGCGATTCGTAAGGCCACGTTTGGCTCTCCCTATTGTGTTAAGTCATGTGTGTGTGTTTATTTAGATATATAGATATGTTTTTGAGTGGTTGGTCTCGTCTTTTGGGAGCCAAAATATCTAAAAGAGAGAGAAGAGAACCGTGAGGGAGAAAAGAGAAGAGAGACGATTCTTGAAGAAAAGCTTAACAATCATGGGGGTTTGAAGGGAATTGAAGAAAGAGAAGGGAGATCAACCATGGAGGCTTGAGGAAATGGAGGAGAATTAAAAGGAAGACAAAGATTGAACTAAGGTATGATCACCTATCTTGAATCCTTATGTTTAAAGCATCAATTACATGAAATCAAGGATTGGTATAGAAGATGTGAGCTTTGAACCCCAACTATGGCTATATTATATTTTTGTGTTCTTGTGCTTGGAAATTGAGTAATAGTTTGAGGTTATGTGTTTGATGGAGATTAATAATATGAAATTTGTTATGTATTAAAGGGTTTTAGGCTTTGAATTACATGGAATTGAGGTTTGATTTTGAAAATTAGAAGTCCTAATTTTTCAGCCATTTTCGGACTGCAAACTGTCCAGGGCCGCACGCGCGGCACTGTTTCCCCGCACGTGCGGAGACAGCTCTGTCCAGCCAACTTTGAACAAGTATATCTTTTCCATCCGGACTCCGTTTTGAGTGATTCTTGAGCCTAAAATCAAGCCCCGAAAGTCTAGTTTCCAATGGCGGTGGTCTCACTCCCAAATTCTAAATACAGAAATAGTTATTCCCAAATTAGTGACGACTGTTCACTTTCTGTCAACCAATTTTGTACCATTTCTTCACCTAAACCATTTCCCATTGATTTCTCCTGTTTTCTGAGACATGGATTATAACTTATTAAAGAATAATGAGCTTGGTACCACCATGTCTAAGTGATTGAATGATCAAAGAGAAGAAATAAAGGATCGAGTATAATCTCATATTATGTGTTGTGCACTGTACTTGTAGGTCAAGACGAGGACATCGTCCCATTACTACCGGGAGCTGATCACTGTGAGTAGTAGTACTGTCGTAGTATGCTTTACTTACAGCTAAAAATTACCATTAGCACTCTGTTAATTGCAGGTTAACTATGTTAATGCATATGAACGATTAAACAAATGTGTATACCTCTGTATGGTTTTGATTAATAGTTAATATTAACATTCTATTCTCCGTAAGTAAATTACGTCGTTTCTTAATGAATAAAGGGAACTTATGTTCATTCTTGAATAACAGTTTCAGTGTAAGTATGAGAGCATATCGTTTTGCTACTAATGGGCCTGAGGCCGTTCAGTTATAAGTCATCGAGTATGGATATCTCTGATGAATCAGAATAATTGGAAAAGCTATGTGTATCTGTATGAATCTGAAATAATTCTGTTGTGTTACATGTGGACCCGAGGTCGTTCAGAACCTACAATATGAATGCAAATGTTTAACATTATTATGTGCTCTCTGTAATAGTTACTATTCTTATTCTGTTATACACGAGACAACTGTGTTAATCTGTAACTAAACCATGAGAAACTTATGTGCATTATTGTATAATGGTATTCTTAGGAAACTAAGATTATTCTGTTTCTATTTATCCGTTCCAGTTATGCTATGTTATGACATGATATGGATTGTTCGGTCTTTAAGACCTAATGATTTCTGGTATGGAACAAAGTGTTGTACGGAACTAAGTGCTGCAATGCGAGTCACCTCTAGAATCCATGCAAGACACCTCTTGAGTCCATACATACATGAACTGGGCTTAAAGCCAATCTGGGCCTATGGCCATTCTGTATGATCTGTTAGGCCAAAGGCCATTCTGTGTGATCTGTTAGGCCTGAGGCCAATCTATATTTTTTGGTACGAAACAAAGTGTTGTACGGAACTAAGTGCTATAGTGTGAGTCACCTCTAGAATCCGTACGAGACACCTCTTGGGTTCATACATGCATGAACAGGGCTGAGGCCGTTCAGCATTCTGGACTTAATGCCACTCTGTTTAAGGGCTCAATGCCACTCTGTTCAAAGGCTTAAAGCCATTCTGTTTAAAGACTGGGCCTATGGCCGTTCTGTATATTACTGGGCTTAAAGCCGTTTTGTATTAGATATGGGCCCGAGACCGTTCTGTATTATATATAGGCCCGAGGCCGTTCTGTATTATATGTGAACCTGAGACCGTATTGAAATATAGTTATGAATAAGACCTGTATATGGTTGGTATATGTCTATTTATTTTATCCAAGGTTTTGCTTATTCAATTAACCTTCTTAAGTTGCTATTATTCACTGAGCCTTGCTCATTCTGTTTTATGTATATTTCTGTAGGTGAGCCATCGGGGATTGACACTAGAGTTGTACTGAGGTTCGCTTGTCTGCTAAGTCACCTGGGGTATGTCTCCACGTGGAGGTCTTAATTTATTGTTGGGAGTCTTATAAATTATTAAGTCTTATGTAAGAGTGTGTGAGATCTATATAAAATCTGTGATTGTATAGGTATATTTGGAATGTATTTAAATGCTTAAATCCAATTAAACCATCATGTATGCACAAGCTCAATGGATGCTGTCTTTTATTGTTATTGTTTCTGCCTAAGGCCCCATATATGGTTAAATATTATTTTAAAATTCTGTTTTGAGGCCAATGTACAGGCCGGTCGTGGACCAAACTTTTAGGGGCGGGTTTGGGTTGTGACATTTTTGCTATAAGGACAACTTAAAAAATTTTATTTTATAAAGTCCTCCAAATCATATTTTTCTTACATAAATGACATAAATTTTATTTTCATTTATTTGATGGACAGTTTTGCCCTACAATATATATAGCAACATTTTAACACAATTCTACATAATCTCTCATGATTTCTTGCTCTCTCTCTTTCTTTCAGCCTCTCTCTCTCTCTATCTCTCTCTGTTAATGGAGATCATCGTCGGCATCCTCACTAACTCTATAATTCTCTCACAAAACTTTCTACTTCATTCTCTTTGTTTTCTCCCGAAATGGAGATTGTCGTCGATGTTCGTACTGACTATACTATCGTGTACCATTGTAGGATTTATCATTATTTTGTCATCGAAGCATCGCACCATCTTTACCATCTCAAATATTTTTTCGTGACTTTCAGATCTATCTCTAATGATCTGAGATCTATTCCAATCTATCACAGTAAATGTAATCGTTGATCACCGCTTCATCTCCAACATTGATTGTAACATGCTCGAGGGGTACTCGTGCACGTTAAACAGTTCGGACCCTCGTTTTCTTTGATCTAGTCTCACGTGTGCAATGTGAAACATAGATGAGAGTCTAGATTTGACAATTTTTGTCAAAAATTCATTTTATTACAAAACCATTAGTAGAAATGGACTGCATCACCAGATCTTAGACTTGTCACCTAATTTTAGGATACCTGTGACTCGTGCCAAGGCCACTGTTCGTTGTAACCAAGGAAGCTTGGCTCAGAACCTTAGGTATGAGAGGGGAAGGTCATTAATTCAGCAGCCTCGCTCACCCGATCAAAAAATCGGCCTTTACTAAACCATGATATGATTTTTATTTCCTTTATATGTTCATATTAATAAATCCTAAAAATTACTATGTGAAACAAACAAGTATAGACTATGTCTTTCATTTTTGAACAATTTGATTTCATGTATTTTGAAAGAGTTTTGAAAATGTACAACTCAAGGAAACTGAGTTGACAAACATAAAAATCAATATTATTCCAAATTGAACAACACTACCTCCATCCACTGGCATTTATACAGTTATATCAAGTAAACAAATAGCCTCATGGTAGGATGCGAAACATAGTAAGAAAAACACACACAATCGAGACACTAAAGCAAAAAACTTACATATTTATCGACATCTCGCGAACAGTTACAAAACAAAGTTAGCAAAATATACATTATCTTATATACAAAATCTTAATACAATTCACTCATGAGATGCAACTAAAGATTTGGCTTCTAATATATGACATGTGAATCATCTCAAGAACATGAGGTAGCTCACATAATCACATAAAAATTGATTAAATCTATAAATGCAAATTTAGCTGAATCAAGATACATGAAACATGGATGCAAAGTATGGATATGATAAAAAGCAAAATATGATGCATATTCACAAAGGAAAACAAGTAAAAGAATGAGATAGAGAGAAGCAGGATGGAGAATTTTTACAACACTTTGAATAAATAATTACAAACCAAATGAGAGCGAGGAGGAAAATATAACAACAAAATAAATATAAAAAAAAATCTCACAAAACTCTCAAATGAAAAGAAATAAAAGCTTCATGTGCATTGAAGACCACCAGAAATTGGTATGCTCAACACCAAAAGACTACTCCGTTTCTTCTAAAAGAAGTTAGTCGGCTGACCAACTAGGCCTAGCAAAACCTGTCTTATTGCAACACGGAGAAAAGAACAAACAAAGAATATGTAGGTGGCTCAACCAACCACTTCCAGTTAGATTACAACAAGACTAATATGAAACTAAAGCAAGAATACGATTACAAGATAGAAAGTGCAAGAAAATAAAAGAATTGAAAACTAACCACTTCTGGTTAGATTACAACAAAACAATAGGAAACAGAAGCAAGAAAACAAATATAAGATAGAAAATACAAGAAAATGAAAGAATTAAAAATTCACTTTTCAAAGAAAGATTGAACTTCTTGATTTCTAAACTTCCTCTTGATTACCCTCAAGGTTGTGAATTATGATCTCAATCCTCAATTCAAGAGCTTGTAATTTGAGCTAGAATGAGGGTTATGGACAAGTGTGTGATCACTCTTTAATCTTCTTCACCTTGGCAAGAATTACTCTCTCTTCGATCAAAACTTTAGAACTTGGTTCTTCAGTGGTTTTTGGAAGGGAAGATGAGATGTATAAAAGCTAGGTAACTTCACTATTTTGACAAGACAACTCTCTTGTTTTCAAGCTTTCTTTTTTCTCTCAAACTCTAATTCAAACTCAACATTCTCTGTACACTTTTTCTCTCAAATTCATCTCTCCAAATTCAAGACTTGAGCTCTCTTTATATAGGCAATGCAAGTGGAGCAATGGTTTAAGACAAAGTTGAGAACTAATGGAGCATTTAGGGAAAACAATGGAACCAATGGAGCATAAATGGAGTTAATGAAAAACAAAAATGGAGCATTACCTTCAATGGATCAAGCACTATGGAGGCTGAGTATACATGCATTCAATGCATAAATCGATCAAAAAATGGAGTTGTGAAGTCCCCCACTCGAACCAACAAAAATTTGGACAAATCTATCACTGGACGGTCGACCGGCCAGAGAGAAAGTTGGTCGTTTTGCTCCGGTTCAGTCCAGCTTTGCTCCGTGCCCGATGGGACCTAAACACTTGGCCAAAATGGGCTTAAGTTTGGGAACAAAACTCAAATTCTATCTTTTTACTAAGGATTTTGTGGGAAACACATTCTTATTTTCATCAACGGGTGATCAAAAGAAAGTGCCCAAGTTTTAGGACCGATCAAAATGAGGTGTCTACAGTTGTCTCTTTTTGACAGAACTCTATACGTCATTTCATGATGTGAGTGAACGTCAAAGCCCGAAAACGACCCTTTTGACAAGGCCATAAGACTTGGGCAAACAAATAAGATACAAATACAGTTAGTTGAACCTAAGGGTTACCCACGTATCCTTTTGCAAGGTATCAAACCAACATAGTTCAGGGAAAAGATGCTAATGATATGCTCACATGCGATTTGAAAGTTGGGCTTACATACTTCGCATAGCCTGTTGTTTTGAAATTCATGATTAGGCAATGCAATGCAATGAAATGATGATAAAGATGGCGATATGAGAGGCAAGCCTCGTGCAAATGATATGAAGCATCATAGGGGGTGCATCGCATACAAATAACAGAGAGAGTGCATGGCATACAAATGTGCCACAACATAAATGATAGAGGGGAAAGGTGAACTCAAAATTCAAACGCGTCTCATGCAAGAGAAGGAATAGTGAACTTGAGATCCAAACTCGTCACACACGAGAAGAGAAATAGTGGACTCAAAATCCAAACGCGTCTTACACGAGAGGAGAAATAGTGAACTTGAGATCCAAACGCGTCTCACGCGAGAGAAGAAATAGTGAACTCAAACTCCATACACGTCTCACGTGAGCGGAGGAATAGTGAACTCGAAATCCAAACACGTCTCATGCGAGAGGAGGAATAGGGAACTTGAAATCCAAATGCGTCTCACGCGAGAGAAGAAAAAGTGAACTCGAAATCCAAACGCATCGCACGCGAGAGAATGAATAATGAAGTAACCAACATGCGTACCTAATTGTATTTCATATGGAGAAGGGAAAGGTTTTAATCAGATAAACTCGAAATCCTAACGCGTTTCATGTGAAAGGAGAAAATGTGGTGTAATTAATAGGTATACCAAACTGTATTTCATACAGAGAGGGGGAAGGTTTTAACCGAGTAAACTTCCTAACACGTTTCACACGAAAGGAGGAAAGTTAGTATAACCAACAGGCGTACCTAACTGTATTTCATATGAAGGGGGGGGGAAGGTTTTAACCAGGTAATCTCAAAATCCTAATGCGTTTCACGCGAAATGATGAAAAGTGGTATAACCAATAGGCATACCTAACCGTATTTCATAAGGAGAGAGAGAAGGTTTTAGCTGCGTAAACTACCTAACACGTTTCACACGAAAGGAGGAAAGGTACTGTAATCAACAGGCGTACCTAACCATATTTTATACGAAGAGGGGGAAGGTTTTAACCGTATTTGATTTATGCACAAATTTATTTTTCATTTTCTTTTTTTCTTTTTTGAAATTATGTAGTATTTTTCTTTTTCACTCTTTTTTTTTTATTATATATATATATACATGCAACATACATCAGTATACATATACATATACATACAAAAATATACATACATATACATATATAGATACATACATAGATATATATATATACAAACAGACACACAGAAACACAAAAACACACGGATACATATACATGTATACATCTACATATATAAATACAGATACACATACAGATACACATAATATATACATATCTCTTTCTCCCTTATTCTTGTCTCTCTCTCCCTCGTTCGCCTTCTTCAACTATCACGTCTGGCGCGTGATTTCAACAACCGCAACGCCTGATCGATAACAGTTGAACCGTCCCTAATTTTCAACGATTGCCTCTGTAATCCCTCTTTAGCTTCTTCTTCCTCCATCCTGTTCTTAATTGAGCCCTGCGAGTTAGAGCAGAGCCGAGAGCAAAACTATAAAATCCCTCTGTGCCATTACTTTGCAAGCTCTCTGTTACTCCCCTCTAACATGGCCTCTTCCCACTGTACTCATTCCCTTTTCCCAAGCCTTAATAATTCCCTGATAGAAATTGTTGACACCAACTTCTCTGAGCCTCAACAGAATGCCCCGACTCCTGCCCATATTTCTAGTTTTCCTGCGTTGTTTGACAAGCAAC